TGAGCCCAGGAGTTTGAGGTTGCTGTGAGCTAGGCTGATGCCACGGCACTATACCCTGGGCAACACAGTGAGACTCTGTCTCAAAAAAAAAAAAAAAAAGAGCATTTTTCCTCCTTTACCTTTCAAATACCATCTCTAAAGTCCCAGTAGGATTTAGTAGGCTTGTGAGGTAATTAGTGGATCCTAGAATTCTGTAAGAGCCTATCGACCAGCAGGGCTATAGCATGCGCCAGACACCTGTAACAGGTACATACCTGCGGAGAGAAGGGAATGAATTAGGTATGGTGGGTATAAGGGTTAGCCCTGCTCCTTGGGGGGATGTTTGCCCCCCCAAAGCTGGCTCTTGACTATTTTCCAAAGTAACTGAAGCTGGGAGGGCAGTAGGTGACTCTGTGCCTGACAGTGGAAATACTCTGGGCTCTCATCTCTCTGGGTAGTGGTTAATACGCATTGGGCCATCCTGCCTCCTGCAAATTCTCCTTCCACCATTGTCTCCTCAAACACTTTGCCCTCTTTCTTTCCTTCTCCATTTAGGATGAAGGATACTAGCCGCAAGAACAACATGTTTGCACAGTTTCGGAAAAATGAGCGAGACAAGCAGAAACTGATTGACGCCGTGGCCAAGCAGCTCCGAGGACTCACCAGCAGCCACCACTCATGAAGGCTGGCCCCAGACCCACAGAAGCTGCCTGCTGCAGCCCTCTAGTCTGGGATCCAGCCCTGGTTGACGCTGCATTTGTGTATTCTTCTTCAAAAGAGCATATGTATTTTTTTATTAACCCCTGTACAGTATTCACATAACATTTCCCTATAGTAAAAGAGGCACAGGAATAAGCAAGCACCTGAGATGTTGCTAGGCTGGGACTCAGGGGAAGCTATTACCACACTATCCATATTATCCTAGAGATGGTGGCATCGTCAATCCCAGTGTGATGAGCCACCTTTTATCCATGGCTCTAAAGCTTAGGTCTAGGGCTTAGGAACAAACAGAGTGATATTTGGCTCTGGGAGGTAAGGTGGGTAAGTGAAAGGACAATAGAGCATGTCCTGTTCACTCTTGGGTGCCCCATCCACCACATAGATGCGGCTGATTCTTCTTGATGCAAGGAAAAGGCCTGGCAAACATTACTTTTTAGTACACTAAAGGCCAGCACGCAGTTGTGGAGGTTCATCCACAGACTCTCATTGGCTGTTGAACGAGCATGGCATGTGGCAAGATGACAGCTTCCCTCTAGTCCCCCAAGAATGGCAGTTTCTTTAGCCTAGATCTGACCCAAGGCTTTTACTGCTAATTTTTCTGAAGCAGGATAGAGTAGTAGGCAGCAGTAATAATTGGACCCCATGATACATGCAGGTTGCCCCCATGCTAGGAGTATTGAGGAATTTTTTCTGGATCTTGAAAGCCGGTTTGAGTGGAATCAGGGGCCCAGTCCCTTCCCCATTCATCTCACGTCCTTCTTTCACAGTCAGAGCACTTAGTTCAGGACATAGGTCAGCCATTATTTCCATAGGTCCTCACAGAGAGTCTCAGCCTTGGCCTCCTCCAGCAATGTCATTGAGACATGTCAGATCTCAGAAGCCTTACTTGACCCTTAGGTAAAGCCTGAGGATTATACCTGGGATTGTTCCTTCATGTTTTAAAACCAGCTTTCTGGCCACCATCTTTAAAAGAAACATTACCAGCTCTGCACTGTGGGGGCAACCACAGCTGGACTGAATGCCTCTAGGGATGGAGCCACTGTCACCATGAAGTAGATAAGGCCAACCATGGCTTGTGTCTTGTTGCCTCTGGCCCAGCTGTCTTTCACTAAGTCATATCCTAGATATGAAGCTCTTCTTGCTCAAGCCCAAGGCTTCCATCCTCTTTGGAGATCCCCAAAGTCATCTTTTGGCCTCATCTGAGAAAGATTGCCCACAATCCAATCCCTCAAACTCTGGAGCCTGGCCCAGCTTAGCTTGGAGGCTGCCTCCATTGTCCCAAAGGGGCTCTAGACTCAAAGCAGGGAATTTTCTATGAGGTCAGTCAGAGGAAACTGTACTTTAAGACACTTCAGGAAGATGCTATTTTGGCTACTGGCAAGAGTATAATTGTGCATCACCAAACAATGACAAATAAGCCACATAGGCATTTCCAGCTTGGATTAGTGAGAGGAGAGACTCATCAAACAGAATTCTTCACTACCTTTGTCAGCTACTGAGTTGCTTCTGGGAAGGGCAGTACTTCCTTTTTAGTTCCCCACCCGTACCCTTACCATATCTATCACATCTTGAAAACCATGGGGAAGAGAAAGAGCATACAGACATACAGCCTTCCTCAAAGCTGGAGGGACCAGGCTACATGGGAGCTCTGCAGAAGCCTCCTGGGCCTCAACCTAAGGGCTAGACAGTTGGCCAGAGTTTTAGGATGGGGGTCGGGGTGAGCACTGCTTCCCAGAATTTGATAAGCCAAGGGAAGACAGGGGCCAAGGTGGCATCTTCAAGCCCTGGTCTTTGTTGAAAAGTGAGTAATGGTTACACTAATCTGAAGTCCTATTGCTTGAGAAGGACCCAAAACACCTTCCTTCACTAGTACCCAGTTTTCAGCAAGATCTCTTTAGCCTTGAGTGCGAAGACTTCCAAGTAGGAATGGAGAGAAGTGTAAGCATGCCACAGTGTTTGTCTTTTTAGAGGGTCACCATTGCTGGTCTGGTCTCAGACCTTTACCCTGGAAGAACTATGCTATGGAGGAAAAGGTAAACAGGGCAGAGGAATAGGGGTTACTCTGCACCTTCAACATGGAAATCCCACGAAAGAAAAAGCTTATTCAAGCTCAAGACTCATAGGATGGACCCTCTGGTGTATCTCCTCTTCTCTCTCAGTCTGCTGTCACTCTTCCCTAACAAAAATGACATGCAGCTACTGAGTTGTATATAGAGACATACTCTTGATGGGCTGGGGAAGGTAAAAATAGAGACCAGCAATGTCAAAGTTTTTTGAATTGGAGAAGTGTCTATAGGCCTATAGTTGGCCCTTGAGAGGACTCATGCAAAACATATGTGCCCATGCCCCTCGGACTCCTCAGGTCTGGTCCCAGATGCCAGAGATGTAGAAGTAAGGACCCTACAGGGCCTCAATAAGAGGGCAAGAACATGGGTGGCTGGAAGCCTACCTGCCTCTGGTCAATATGAACCTTTGGCCAAGTTCTTGGGGAAACCAGGTCTATCTATGTTCCTGAGGAAGCAGTCTGGTTTGGGAACCTAGCGCGTTTCAATGATAATATAAGCAGTTATATTGTTGTAACATTCATAGGAAAATCTCTTTGAGCAGACTATAAATGAAGCTGCTGGGGGTAAGGAAGAACAGGACCTGGAAATTGGAACCAGCAGAGAGTCCCTGTTGGCAAAGGGAATGCACAACTTCCAGGGCATGTTGCCCAGTGTTCTCATTGCATACCAGGCCTCCTAGTCCTCAAAGTCAGTCTAGCTTTACCGTATATTTGACAAGTGCTTGCTTAGCAAGTCCCAGACCCAGGGCCTTTTATCCCCCAGGATTGGCATTAGCCATGACCTTCCTCATCAGGCTTCTGAGCACACTCCCTGGGGCCTGCTGCAGAACTCTCCACACACACACCTTAGCCTCCCTTCACCCGGGACTCTTCTACTGACTACTTCAATTGCCTCTTTTTTTGTTTGTTGTTTTTTTTGTTTTTGTTTTTGTTTTTTGCCTGTATTCGCAATTACTTTTCACTAATGTGTTGAAAATGGCCTTTTTATTTTGCACAGATAGTTACACATTTATAGGGAAATTTTAGTAAAATCCATTTTTAACTCTAAAGGGAACTTTTTTCTCTGAAACTTACTAGTAAAGCTACTGATGCAGATGGGCCACATGGTTAGGGGAAAGCTCCTCTGTGGAAAAAGCATGTTTATTCCCCTTGTATATTTTCCTCTTTTAACTGCTATTAAAGAAAAGAGCCTACGTACCTGTTTCAAAAGCCACAGTGTTGTCTCATGGGTTTTTTGTTCTGTCCCTTTTGCACAGTGCAGCTGTGGTTGGTGAACTGGATGTCAGACACTGCGTCCCTATTCAGCTGGACTGAGGACTAGAGCAGGCCAGAGACTGGTGGGGAGGAGAAAGCCTGCCTGCCACACAAGGCAAGGAGCTGTATTGTGGCCTTGGAAATGTCCCTAACCACTGGGTTAGGTTTTCCTGTCTATATAGCCAACACTGGCATCGTCATCCTCGGCATCATGAAGAGGAATAACTTGAAATGCCTGAGTTATACAGAGTACTGGACTAGGCAGCTTGGGGCCCAGTGTGTTTTGAACACCAGCCCTAACATGGAAAGACTCCCAGTCAAGAAGGAATGATGTGGGATTATCCAGAACAAAGCCAGGCTAGGAGAGAGGGAGAGATGACCCTATTTTAGACTCTGTGCAGGAGAGGAACAGTCATCATGGTCTGGTATAGGAAAGGGTCTGGTCAGGGAAGACAGCAAAGTGAGAGCAGAATGTTAATTAGCTGGGCCTTGAAGAAGTTAAATTCAAACTTTGTTAAGCCACGGAAATATTTTAGGTGCAGACCACATTAGAGTGCAAAGTTGGTGTGAGCCTGGTATGTGCAGGGAGGATAATGAAAAACCTCTTGAGCACATCTGGAACCATGGTGAATAAGACCAGAGATGTCAGTGTGGCAACACCGAGCCCACTTGCCCCCTAGGCTGGCACAGAAGCTGTGGGAATAGGCTAGAAAAAATTTCTTCCATATAGGTCTGAATACTGCATTGGGGCTTTGATGGCCCAGAGACTTAGGCTTTGATCCCTGCAGTGCTACTTACTAGCTGGACGACCTTGAACAATTACTTAACTAACTCCCTGAATCTCGTAATCCTCATCCATGAAAGCAAAATGGTAGTCTCTAACTTGCAGGGTGGTTGTGAAGCATGAACGAGCCGTGGAAGGTCAGAATGCTTAGCTAGTGCTGAGCCACAGCATGTGCACTGTTCAAGACCTTCTCCTCTCTTCCCTCCGGTTCCACAACATACCTCATGGCTGAGCACTGCACAGAAGTGTCCAGAGCTTCTCCGCCTCCTGGCATCCTGTCCCCAAGCCCAGTGCAGTGTTGGTGGCAGAGATACCCCTCAGGCACCTGTGCATGAAACAGGGACAAGCCTTTCAAATCAGCCAGCTGCTTGGCTCAGAGTACAGCCAGTCCTTCAGGTGGGGTCTGTCTCTCAACACGACCTAGAACTTTCTCTGCTCTCCCTTTGGGGCTGAAACTTATACCTTCTTCTAGAGCTCAGGAGTTCTTAACCAGGGCTCCAAGAACACTCGAAGCGTGTGTGTCATACACGCACACACAGGCTTGCATCCACTTATATTTTCTGGAAAGGAGGTTTGTGGCTTTCGTCAATGTCTAAGATTCATGTCTACAATACTGAATAATAACCAAATCCTTTTGGAAACGTACATCTCCCCATGAGGGAAAGCCAGAAGCTCCGAGCATTCGCCTCCTCTCCCTGCCACCTACAGCCCTGGCAGATCTTTCAAGACCTGCTGCTCTGCTACCCACCTTTTCCAGGGTGCCCCACCTGATCCCCAGGTCACACCTAGAGAGTGAAGCCACTGCTCTGAGCTTTCTCTCCCCGCACCAGATGGGGTCCTGACGGGGGCAGGAGGACTCCGCGCTCCTGAGAATGAATGTAGAGGCTTCCAGCTGGTTGGGGAGATGACAAACAAGAGGGTCCAGTACAGAGACTTGGGCTTTCATAATCCAGCTGAACCTGACTCACCCCGA